TCCAGAATATTTCCTTTCCATGAGAAACATCCCCATGTGTTTCAGACACTCTTCCTCCTCCTGTCATAGAATGATTCTGGAACCTTTCACAGCCCTACAGTTCTCTCCATTGAGCCATTCCACCTGCTACCGTCCCTTACAAAGACTGGTACTCAGGATCCACAGAACTCGTGGTCTCTCGTGGGCACATCCCCAGACACTAGCCCTCACTCAGCTAACAAGCAAAGGTCGGGGAGACCTCCCAGTGATCTGTCACATCACATTGTCCCAACCTGTCAGAAGCAGGGAACTTTGATTGCTATGTCTTGAAACGTTCTTCAACCCTCCAAGGACCCAGCAGAGGAATAGACAGGCTTGTGCAATGCCTGCTTTCTAACAGCTCTCGGTACCCCCTGCTGGTGAAATTGTGTGACCCAATTGGAAGGAACCTCAGAACAACTAGACAAAAAATTCCAAGTTCAGCAAGTCACAGGTACTTAAGTCTTAAGGGATTTGAGGACTGCGTGAGTTATATGACCCATACTATGTTCCTTGTGGCCGTCTTATATGGTTTTTTGTTTATTTTTTTTTAAGCATTCTATAGCTATGGCCATTCTGTGGGCTCTGAGAGAGAAAAAGAAGTCTCTGCCTTCTATGTACATTCCATCATTTCTTCAGACATCCTAGGAAGGAAATGCTAAATTGTTAGACAAAACTATCCATTAAGTAGAAATATTTCAGGTCCCCAACTAATTTCATGCAGCTTTTTCTTCCTGTCTCCTTGCATATATCTGTTTTTAAGTGGTTATAATCTGTAGTCAGAGAAGAATGACAGTCTTTTCTGCACCTCAGATTGTAGACTTTAAAACATAAATTTGCACAGCAAATTTATTGAGCACCGGCTACATGCCAGACACTCAGCAAGAGGTTGGAGTAGATCCAGGAGGTTGGAAGAGGTTCACCCAAGAGGTGCTTGCCTTCCTGGGTAGGAGAGTTGAATCACTGCAGTTGGGTTAGTCAAGTGCTTCGTTCACATGGCAACGAGGTCCTCCATGATCCCCTGACAGGGTTCAAACCAGCTATTTGTTGCTCTCCTCTCACCATATATATTGTTCCTTCTTGGCTTTCCTCACGTTTGGGATTTTATATCGATTTCTGTATTTCCCGGTCTAGTGCCTGTCTCTGCCATCAGTCTCTGTGTCCTAGGAAGGTGGAGATCATGTTTGGTGTTTGACACTGTGATCTTCCATTGAGCAGAGACTGGTGAATGTAGGTGCTAAATAAATGTGTTCAGTGGAAGAGTCCACCCAGAAGAGAGAACCATACAGCTGTCTGGGGGAGCAAGAGAAGATGTGACATCTGAATGCCCCTGAGTCTTGAAGGATAAAGAGGAGGGGGTCCAGGGAGAAGAATAGGGTCACGCTGAGGAGGAAGGAGTATTGAGGAATGCTTAGGAGAGGGGGGTGAAGTAGCTGGTGTTCCCTAAAAGGAGACGTGTGTGGAAGATAAGGCCGAGCTGAAGCCTGGAGCCGTACGCTGAGGGTCTGATATGCCCCACTCCCTAGTTTGTATGCTCCCCTTCTTTAGGAAGAAGAGGGAGGAGAATCAGCTAAGTTCTGTGACCACAGGAATGAATATGATCTTCTCTAAATTACTTTTTTTTAATTATTTATTTATCTGACTGCTCTGGGTCTTAGTTGCGGCACACAGGATCTTCGATCTTCGTTGCAGCATACAGGATCTTTAGTTGCGGCTTGCAAACTCTTAGTTGCAGTGTATGGGATCTAGTTCTCTGACCAGAAGTCGAACCTGGGCCCCCTGCATTGGGAGCGTGGAATCTCACCCACTGGACTACCAGGGGAGTCCCCCTAAATTACTAGGAGGGTTTTCAATACTTAAATTATGAATAAGATCCCCAAAGTACAGTTTTATGTTTTATTTCCTTCTACATACCTTTCATTTCCATTTTGAAGCTGCAACACCTGTCTACATATTTTTAAATTTTAGGTAGCATCATCATCACCATGAAAACATCGTGTCAACCATGGGCTAAAAACTAAGAATGTGAAAAACCTGAGTTGTCCAGTTTTTAAATATATGTTTTGGAGAGGCTCCATTTAAAAAAATTTTTACCCAGGTGTTCAGAGCTACCCAAACATTACTGTAAAATACCACTATTCATAGAGGCAGCCAAGGTCTTTTTATTATTATTATGCCTTTGGAAACCAATGATTTGTGCCTAAGACAACTGTCTCCATATTATTTTACCCTGAATAGAATGAGATTGGTTGGGAGTTCTGCCCTAAGGAAATATCAAAACCCCAATACATACTCATTTATAGTTCGAAAGTTAACTGTCTTATCAGATTTCCTTTTATTTCCTGCTGGGGCAGTATGAACAGAACTCAGATGGAGGCAGAGGGTCTGCTGTATATCTTTTCAAATTTATGATTAAGAAGGTCACATATACATTTTTAAACACACTCCTTTTTGATAATAAATGAAGAATGAAACTGTGAAATGTCATCAGAAGCCGAATTACTCATTTTTCTTTCATTCGCATACCCCTGCCTGCTGGCTGATTGCCTGCCACTGGTGAGGAAAGGCCCGAGTGACCAAATGCTTCATTTCTTATGGTTTTTCTGTCTGCCTGGAATAGTCTCACTAGTGGAGCAGCATGCCTGTGGCCAGAGCATTTGAACCGAAAGATGCACTTCTATTCCTGAGCCCCCTTCTTTTCCCCAGGCCAATTTAAAAAATAATAATAATTCAATTTAGGCTGCGTTTGTCTTCAAATTGTGGCCAGAATGAGAGAAGTGAAAGCTCTTCTCTTCCCAAGTCCAGATCCACTCTAGATGCTTCTCTTCTATGTTCTCTGTCTACAAAGCAAGATCTAAACAGATGCCATGCCTTTGGCATGAGCCACTCTAACGTGGGAGGGGAGGATGTAGTTGGGATCTGTGCCTCTGGGTCCCTTCCTGCAAGGACATCCAGGACTGGCTGGATTCTTTGGGAGAAGATCACTGCTTCTGTACAGGTGGCCTCCTCTTCACAACACCTTTTGGGTCCTGGTGGCTGTTCCCTCTGCTTGTCCCTCTGGACCCACAGGTGATAAACAGCTCTCCTATCACTGTATTATACCTCGGGTTCCATAGAGTTGCAAAGAGTAGGACATGACTGAAGTGACTTAGACTGCAAGCATGTCTCTAAAATACTTGTGTATGTGTGTGTGTGTGCATGCACACGATATCAGTCATATCTGACTCTCTGTGACCACATGAACTATAGCCCACCAGGCTCCTCTGTCCTAGAATTTTCCAGGCAGAAATACTGGAGCTGCTTGCCATTTCCTGCTCCTGGGGATCTTCCTGACCCAGGGTTCGAACCCACATGTCTTGCATCTTCCTGCATTGGCAGGCAGATTCTTTGCCACTGTGCCACCTGGGAAGCCTAGGTTATTCATTGCTTTTAATACCTCCTCTGACAGGAGTTCATTACCTCTTGAAACTGCCTATTTCATTATCAGATGGGCTCAACTTTGGAAATTTTCTATGCAGTGCTGAATTTGACCTCTCTGGAACATCTCTTCTTTCCATGTTAAAGTAAGAGTGACCAGGATTGAATTTGAAGTCAAGCCCTGTGAAAAATGGAGCAGGAGACCTGAAAGAATTTACCCTCCAGATATTTCACATGCAACGTGTAGCTTTGCATATCATAGGGACAAAGTTACTATACTTAGATGGACACGTATTGGGTAAACTCAGAGGGACCCGGTTTTTTTTTTTTTTTTAATTTACAAATATTTGACAAGCTGTCCTGTGCAGGTCAGTCCTAATTTTATACCTCTGACAATAAATCTAAGACCCAATACTTGACATTTAAGGGGAGTAGATTTCAAATCCATACAAGAACTTTTAACCCTCAGCCTCCTAGTGAGGTGCCAAAGTCTCCATCCCTTGGTATAATCCAGGAGGGATGGGATTCCACAGCAGGACTGCTGGAGAGAGGACTCGAGCAGGGGGATGCAGTTGAATCAGTGGTGATGATACAAAAGCAAGAAGAGCAGCTGCCACATGTTGAGCATTCACTGTGTGCCAGGCGCTGCGCTCCACACACACTGTCTCACTTAGTCCTCAGGTAATTCCTCTGAGGTTGGCCTGTGAAGTGCAGAACTTAACGAGGTCAAGGAGCCTGCCCTGCCTCGTGCAGCCACAGGCCGCGTGGAGGGAGGCTATGAAGCCAGGTCTGTCTGATACCAAAGCTGCTGGTTTCAGTCCCTGGTGGTTGGTGTCAGAATCACCTGGGGAACTTGGTGGCCATGCAGACATTCAGTCCTTGTCCTACTTGTATGAATCTAGGATCTGTGGGCTTTTTCAGCTGAGTGGTTCTGATGTACACGAGTTTGAGCATGGCTGTTCCGGGTCGTCATCATCATTGTCATCATTATCATCGTCGTCATTATTCTAAATGCCCATCTGGCTCTGAGGGTTACTATAGGGATAACTGTGCATCTAGTTCTGCTTTAACTTTTTTCCTTTTGAGCTATAGGGCTAACTAACGTCCACTCTTACCCCCTGCCCCCACCAGCCCCTACTTCAATCCACCATTGTTTTGTGGTTTATTTCATGAGCTCAATCACAGAGAATGGCCAGACTTCATTATGAATATCCTTCAGAGCCCCACAGGACAAGTTCCACATGACCGCGTCTTCCTTTTAAAGTCAGAGAAATGTTATGGAAATCTCATTTTTTTCCCATTTTAAGCTCAGTAAAGAACACACCCTTTGCTGGGGGTGAGGCAGAATGAATGTCATGTTTCTGAAACTGAAGCCATTAAAAGTTTCAGAATGACTTAGGCTTATCACCCCTTGACCTTGGAGGACCTGCCTTGACCCTGTTTCTGGACAATGCACCAGGTTTGGGGGTTGAGGATGGATGGGAAAAGAGCAGTCTGATCTTCCAGTCTTTTGAAGCAACTGTCACCATCTGACTGTGATTTTTCCCCTTGCACATGTCCCAAAGGAAGCTGGCCAAGAAGCAGAAGGAGACCCAGAGTGGAGCACAGAGGGAAATGGGGCCCGTGGCCTCAGCCGACAAACCCACTGCCAAGCTCAGCTCCAGCCGCAATGATGAAGGCTTCTCCTCTAGCTCACAGGATGTGAACGGATTCGGTAAGTTGAGTCAACCAAGGGGAAGGGGACATCTGTGGTCCAGCTTGACCCTGGTGCCTCTGCTATTGACCCCTCCCAGTGTCGTGTGCTGTAGGACACGGGGGCCATATGCTTCCCTGGGATCATCAGGCTGAAAGTGATCCCTGGCAAAGACTGGGGCCACCCATCCCGGGTGAAAAGGAAAATTTCAGAATCCTTCCCAAAACAGGTGGGAATAATGACAAGTCATCTTAACTGCTGCTTGTGCGCAGAAAGCAGTTAAAACTAAGAAACAAGAAGGAGAGCACAATTATACACTTAAGGAAAAAGTATGCCGTACCGAATTGAGTGTCATAGAGTTGTCAAAGCAGTGTTTCACATAAACCATGAAAGGTAAATGATTTATGGGTTACAACTGTCTCCATTTCTCAGCTTAGGAAACTGAGGCTCAGAGAAGCACTTTCTCCTAAGCCCCATGCTAACGAGCAACTCATTCAGTCCTGGAAGCCATGCTTCCCAGCCTTGCCCAGTTCCCAAGTGGCATTAAGTCAAAAGCAATGGTGTTCTTATGCAGAGTTAACACAGGATCTCAAGCTAATAGCAGTGGCCACAGTTTCAGGGTTGACCCCTGTCCAAAGGAGAACCTCAGGACTAGTAACCTAAAGCTACCTTGGCAATCTGACTCAAGAGAGCTGACTTTTGCTCTTAAGTTTCTGAAAGCCAGTTCTTTTTCTAGATTTCATAGAAATGGTGGATTCTCCAGCCTTTGCTCCAAATTGGGGAAAGCAGGAAATCTAAAGGAATATGAACAGAGACACATGTTCTCTCCACACTGTGCCATTGGCAAAGGGAAGAAATCATATTTTGTAAAAATCACATCATTGTTGTTATTGTTCATTGTTCAGTCGGTAAGTTGTGTCTGACTATTTGTGAATCCGTGGACTACAGGATGCTAGGCTTCCCTGTTCTTCACTATCTCCCACAGTTTGCTCAAACTCATGTCATTGAGTCGGTGATGCCATCCAACCATCTCATCCTCTCTCATCCCCTTTTCTTCCTCCCTTCAATCTTTCCCAGCATCAGGGTCTTTTCCAATGAGTCTGCGCTTTGCATCAGATGGCCAAAGTATTGGAGCTTTAGCATCACTCCTTCCAATGAATATTCAGGATTGATTTCCTTTAGGATTGGCTGATTGGATCTCCTTGCAGTCCAAGAGACTCTTAAGAGTCTTCTCCAACACCACAGTTTCAAAGCATCAATTCTTCAGTGCTCAGTTTTCTTTATGGTCCAACTCTCACATCCATACATGACTGCTGGAAAAACCATAGCTTTGACTAGACAGACCTTTGTCAGCAAAGCAATGTCTCTGCTTTTTAATACGCTGTCTAGGTTGGTCATAGCTTTTTTTCCAAGGAGCAAGCGTCTTTTAATTTCATGGCTGCAGTCCCCATCTGCAGTTATTTTGGAGCCCAAGAAAATAAGAAAACAATGTTTCCATTGTTTCCCCATCCATTTGCCATGAAATGATGGGACCAGATGCCATGATCTTCATTCTTTAACTGTTGAGTTTTAAGCCAACTTTTTCACTCCTGTCTTTCACCCTCATCCAATGGTTCTTTAGTTCCTCTTTGCTTTTTGTCATTAGAGTGGTATCATCAGCATATCTGAGGTTGTTGATATCTCTCCCTGCAATCTTGATTCCAGCTTGTGCTTCATCCAGCCTGGCATTTCGCATGATATACTCTGCATATAAGTGAAATAAGCGTGGTGACAATATACAGCCTTGATGTACTCCTTTCCCAGTTTTGAACCAGTCCATTGTTCCATGTCCATGTCCAGTTCTAACTGTTGTTTCTTGACTTGCATACAGGTTTCTCAGGAGGTAGGTAAGGTGGTCTGGTATTCCCATCTCTTTAAGAATTTTCCACAGTTTGTTGAGATCCACACAGAGATTTTAGCATAGTCAATGAAGCAGAAGTAGATGTTTTTTGGAATTCCTGAACCCCATGAACAGTATGAAAAGGCAAAAACAAAAATACATTGATAAGATCAATTTGGGATGATGGGGTTCTATGAGAGGATGAAGACAGAAAGGAAACAAGCATGTATAGACCAGCGTTGTCCACACCACAGCCTGTGAGATGCTTTCTGTGCTTGTTCCCGTTTATAGATGATGCATCTAGAGTTCAGTGTTTGGCTGACCTGCCCACTGGTACACACCACTGTCTCCTGGTGGATCTAGGATCCAAGGCTGCTGCAGACCCATGATTCCTAATCTCATGTACAGCACAGCATCTAGCTGAGGAAGTTTACAAAATCCACGTGTCTCGGCCCCACACTTGTTGCATCAAAACCTCCTGGGGCATCAGGAGTGAGGGTGGGACTCAGGGATGTAGACTTTTGTAAAAGCCGCTCGGGGTTCTTACAGGCACCTTGGTTAGAAGCACTGAACTTTGAAAGAGGCAGCAGCGGTTTTCAAATACTGACATGCTGCCTTGGGAAAGAGATTTTGCTTTAAACATATAATGATTGAAAAAAATATTAAAATGAATACCCATACACCTTTTACCGAGGTTCACCAATTGTTCAGAATTTGCAACATTTGCACTCCCTCTCCCTCTCTTTCTCTCACGCTCTCTCTCTCTCTCTCACACACACACACTATACACATACACACAGTATATACACACACACTATATATACACAATTTTCTGAACTGTCTAGATATAAGTTTTGGACATCGTGATACTCCCACCTCCAGAAAATTCAGCTCATTTCCTGAGAATGAGGACAGCTCTTCAGCATAATTGCAGTAAAAGTATCTTACCCAAGAAATGTGACCTTGTTTCTGTCTTTGATAGGCCAGTCCATAGCTGAATTTCCCCCATGGCCCTGAAGTATTCTCTTTTTTATTTGTTACTATCTTTTGGATCCAGGATTCAGTCAAGGTGCTCACTTTATATTTGACCTCCACATCTTCCATCACCTTTTTATCTACAATGTTCTCCCACCTTTGGTTTTCCTTTCAGGATGCTGACATCTTTTAAAAATCCAGGCCAGCTGTCTACAAAATACTCCTGAGTCCAGATTCATCTGAATTTTTTCATCATGATCATATTCAGGTTAAACATTTTGGCAAAAATGCTGCACAGGTGACATTGTGTACATACTTCCCTTTGCATCATTTCCATAGAAACTATCACTCTGATTAACTATCACAAAGCTATCACTTTGCCCACTCTTGATGATGTTAAGTTTAAGCACTTGTTAAGGTTGAGAATTGGACAGTCTTAACAGTACATACTGATTATTTCATGAGCAAATATTTAGCTTGTTTTTCTCAGAGAGCAGAGCAGGTTTACAGTCTGCGTAACCACAAAGTCAGTTCCTTTTTTTTTTTCCTTTTTTTTCTTTTTTTTTTTCATTTTTCTTTTTTTTTTTTTTTCCATTTATTTTTATTAGTTGGAGGCTAATTACTTTACAATATTGTAGTGGTTTTTGNTTTGCATTCCCACCAACAGTGTAAGAGGGTTCCCTTTTCTCCACACCCTCTCCAGCATTTATTGCTTGTAGACTTTTGGATAGCAGCCATCCTGACTGGCGTGTAATGGTACCTCGTTGTGGTTTTGATTTGCATTTCTCTGATAATGAGTGATGTTAAAAAAAATAATTTGTTTATTTTTGATTGTGCTGAGTCTTTGTTGCTTCGAGGACTTTTCTCTAGTTGCAGCGAGCAGGGGCCACTCTCCAGTAGCAGTGTGCGGGCTTCTCTTTGCCGTGGCTTCTCCCAATGGGGAGCACAGGCTCTAGGCCACGTGGGCTCAGTAGTTGTAGCTCCCGGGCCCTAGAGCTCAGGCTTAAGAATTGTGGTGCACGGGCTTAGTTGCTCCTTGGCATGTAGGATCTTGCCTGATCAGGGATCAAACCCGTGTCTCCTGCATTGGCAGGCAGATTCTTTACCAGTGGGCCACCAGGGAAGCCCTTTCTCCCCAGAGAGTCAGTTCTTAATCCATTCTCCACACGGGTGAATTTCTGGGGTTTGTACATTCCAGCAGAGAGCAGGGGAGGCAGAACAGGGGGCGCAGGGAACTGGGCTTGGTCTCTCCTTACAGGTGCACCTGAGCGCCCCCCGACCCCAGCCCCTGCCTCTGACTGTGTTAACTTGTCAACGACTCTCCTGCCTTTGTTCTGGGCAAGGGCGTTCACTAGCAGGTCTAGCTGTTGGCACATGCTGGCCAAGTGGTACCTATTCACCAAAATGAGTATTTCCTGTCCAGACCAAGCTCTTGTGCACACTTATTCCATTTGTCAAAATGTCATGGGAGTACTCTGAAGACCAAAGAGATGTGGTCAGAGACACGACAAACATCATGCACCCAATTTATATGTTTTTGACCTCAAGTGAAAACCTGGGGAACACCAGTTTCTTGGATTTCAAGGGGAAAATACCACCTTCATTTCCCCCATGGGCTAAAACTTAAGACTGTTTAAGATGAAAGCACCCAAGACCAGGATAGATTGGCCAGTCAGGGAGGAGGAAGCAGCAGATCCAATAAAATATAATTAGATGTTTTAAAGTCCAGACACAATCTTTCCAAGATTGATATGTGTGTTTTATATTTATATACACACAGGCATAACATGCATACATACACAGACCTGTGTGTACATATACATATTGTATATACATTTATTTTAATATTGTTTTTAAAAAGAAAAAATTCAATTAACATTATACTCAATCATTAAGACATTTTGCATTTGAATCAATGGGCATTTAGGATTCTGTTTATCTGGTGTCCTCAGGCTAGAACCACAAACATGTTCTGGGGATTCTTTTGAATGCCCTGGAATGCATCAGGTACCTTTTAAAGTGCTCTGTGAAACCACTAAGGTATGATTTGAGGGGGGGAAAATGTAAGTAATGCTTACATTGGAGGTGTGGAAATTGCTTCTGAAATCACCCTGATGTATGTAAAATTGAATCTATTTTTGTGACATTAGGAAAGTGACTGGCTTCT